ACAGATAGGTGAGGTGATGATTGACTAGGATTTGACATTAGGGTCCGGAAAGGTCTAAACCTTGGCATGAGTAAAATATCTCTGACTCTCTACTGATAGGTGATTGTATATAGGAGGACACAWGGAGGATTGGATCACACCCATGTATATCAGTAGTGAGGGYCATTATTRMGATGKTACCGTCAATACTATRGACCTTCAGGACARATTGTACATTAGATAACCTTGAGTGTGAGTTCGACTATCGTTTTTGTTCTTTCTTTGAGACTATGTACATTACGTGTTTGTGTGAGTTACATTTTCTTTCTTTCTCTTTCAGAGTAGGATGTGTGAGACTTGTGTGAGCAGTGTGAGTGGTGTGCAGAGTGTGTCGATACTTGGACATTCGGGACTTTGAACTGTTCAGAACATTTTTGACTTCTTTGTATTATACTTTGATTCTTCTTTGAGTGTGACAGGGGTTTTGCCTATTTTGCAAACCCCATGTTCCTTGTGTATATATAAGACTCAGACTTAATAGAGATTTGTGTGGTATACTACGCTCACATCAATTGTGGACTTGCCCATGTATGCGTGACTTTTGTGAGATGCTGTTATGATGGCTTGATCTGCACCATCCTTTCTCTGAACTTAGGACTACCTGTCATTGTTACAGGTGAGGTACTAAGTACAGTTGAAGGAGAATACACATCACAAGTGAGGAAACCGATAGTCGAAATGAAACAGTGTTGTTGAATGGAAGGTCACAACTGAGAGTTGTGTCATTATGTGTGATTGAAAATATGAAAGGAACTCAATGGCCGGTAGAGTTCTTCCTGTACATAATTGGAATTATGAGAGAGCTCTCTGATGAGATGCTATGATGATAATGATGAAAACTTTTGTGTGCAAGCAAAAGTCTGACAAGGAAAGACCATAAATTTTGTGAGAATTATGAATCGAATTCTGGCAATTATGACAAAATTTTTGGAAAGGTGTCCCTATAAGACGTGTGACCTTGCCTGCCCTGATCAAAGCAAGGAAGGCACGACCTTGTTGAATTATTAGTGGATTTGTGAGAAAAACACTATCCCTCCACGTCGTTCCGTGGGCGGTTGATGTGTGATCCTTTGTGCATTTTGTGTGAAAAGAGAAGGCCAGACCACAAGCAGTCAGTCTAAGGGACATATTATGTGAGGCTAGGCTAAGAGGCTATACTTAGCATCGCTGGAACTGTAAAACCTAACTCCCAGCGAGGGCCGCTGGCCGGCGCAACCTGGCAGCGGAACCATGGCTCACCAAAGGTTAAGTCCTGATAGGTCCGCCGCCTGGAGAGGTTTAACTAGAGGGAAGGTCATTGGGGTCGATGAGGTCAAGAGTCGGGACCCTTCGGGGTGCCAAGGTAAGAGAGATATGCTCATTGTTGCGCAACCAACGAGGGCACTACCGCTAATACAACATTGCGGTAGGCCGTGGACTCGGTTTGATCAACCGTTCTGCGGTGGGCTAGGATGAAGACCTAGAAGCCGCCTGTTTTAGACTCCAGGTTGGGCGTTCCTTATGAGTGGATATTTGAACTAGTAGTACTTACCAATTTGGGGACTGAAGGTGCCCCGTATTTGAGAGAGGTCTCGGTTAGGGCCCGCGTCCTAAGTTATGACCCTGCTTGCAGGACGATGACTAAATAAGACACCCAACGGTGAGCCGGCAGATGTCTAAGGCAAAGGGAGAGGACTATCAAGCTACTACCTGGGAGCGAGCATTACGCTGTAAGACGGAACACAGTATCCCCAGAGTCCGAGGCCAGGACGTGGGAGACCCAGGTTGAAACCCTGGCAGTGGAACACCGTGACGGGGGTGGACTTATAGAATACCTCAAACAGAGTCAAGCCGGCTAACCGGATTGGTCAACTTCCTTGTCGACAAGATGTGATTTGAACTTTTTATAACCTTTGATCTGACCGGCGCGACGGGGACGTCGCTTAATAAGGTTCGAAAATTTGTCGGCACCATTACCCTTACAAGGGTAATTGTGCGTGCTTCGTGCACCTCGCAGAAGGTGCGATCAAGATGATACTTGAGAAGATGGCATATAGGTCGGCCAACCACAACTGACTCTTGGAAGTCGGGCGCGGCAGACGCAAGCATAGCTTGATTAGAGAGTGTGTGAGCATGCACTTTGTGGGCGTGCGTAAGTAGCTAGCCGTCGGCAACCGTTGGAATTTTTTGACCAAGCCGCGTGGACCACAGTCCTGCGGTCACCAACGAAGTCACGGTCGGCATGGAGCTGGTTAGTAGGTTTACGGTGGTGAGGTTTCGTTGACTCACTGAAAAACAGTGCCTTTGAGACCACACAGTAAGGAGGGTGTGAACACTAGAGCTCAGCTGAATACTAGCCAGAGATCGGAGCCATCGGAGGAGTGAGAGGGAAGGCAATGCGAACGGAGTCTAGTAGAGACAAGTGTCGTGGTTTTTTCAGCAAGGCGGCGATAGAAAGTCGGCTGGGGCAGGCTATGAAGGCCACATGCCGCAATCACGGCACGTAGAGGCAACGTACGTTGTGAGCCGGGCGACACCTACCTTCGAGATAGCAGAGCACGACCCCACAAGGCCAGGGTGGAGGGGATAGGCCAGCACGACATGTGTGCAGGGTCACGGGGTTGAAGGACAGGCCAAGAAACGGCCTGGGGCACCACCTGCAGGCCCAGGCTGGTTGACCATGCAATTCATATACAGGGTARCCCGCACCCAGTTCAGGCTTGGGCTTAGCCCTATAGGTTACATCACTGAGTTTTCACCAGGCGGATCCCGGGATCGAGGCCAGCAGCCAACATTGGGGCAGCGGAGGAGCGTACTTGGGAGTGAAGTGAGGGGTTGAGAGTCCCACRGGACTATCCCCCTTAGTTTTGCTGAGGGGACCCGGCYGCGGGCCCGGGAGGTAGGACTGAAGACYAAGTACTAACGGTTCTCCTCCCCTATCCGTGTTTTTAACTTCTATTTCTAGAATTTTACTAATATTTTTTTTTTATGTTTCCCATTCGGGACGGGGGCCGACACTGGTCTATGGGGCCGGCTGGAGCTCAAGAGCCCAACTCGGTGGGTACTCCATTGAACTGCTGAAATACCGATCCCACCGTGGAGCTGGTTTTATGCAGCCTCATTGTGTTTTTTTCTATGGACCTTCGGGACATCAATAAAATAAATATACATATATATATATATATATATATATATATATATATATATTTTAGAACCTTGTGAGGGAGGTGCTGTGTGGGCAGCAAAGGACCAGGTTGTTTTGTTTTGCTGCAGACGGCCAGGGCAGCGTCCCACTGGAAAAGGTGCAGCGTATGATCCAAACCATGTGAAAGACCTCAATTTAGCCGACCTCAAAATCTGCATATTGCGGCGAGCAATGAGAGGTATGAATGTGAGCCTACCTGCAGGGAACCGTGAGACAGTGAACTATAACTGGCAGGGTGAGGACCAACAGGCACCAGCGCAGAGGCTGTGTACCGCTGGTCACATTAAACAGCTCCCCGTTTGRCTGTTTTATTTTATTGTTTATTTTATTATTTTTCTATTTGTTCTTTACATATATACCCTTTTGTCCCAGGTTGGGACACAGCCCAGGTGCTGGTTCTRGGGTTGGCAAGRGTATCAATAGGCTTAGTTCAGTTGGTACATGTGGAGCTGCTGAAGTACAGGCCTGAGTTGGAGCTCCGCTGAAAACAGGGGAGCAAAGCACTACGACCCTGTTTTTTTTGTTTTTTTTTTGTACTAAGCTCTAGACGTGATGGCCGCCACATTCATTCAGATTTTGTTAATATAACACTCTTGCGAATATACCGTCAATCCAGACATTCAGTTTTTGTTACATAACCTTCAGCACGATTGGGGACTAAGGGGTAGTCTGGATTCGTTAGAATAAGGAGAGGCATAGAGTGCTACGAGGCTGGAGTAGTGTGGGTAGGAGAGTATAAAAAGGTGGGAGTATCGCCTGCAATTTTTTTTATGGACGGATTGCGGTTTCTCCTATTGGTAGGAATCAGAAACGGTGGGCTGCGTTAGGAGCAGGGTCAGCGAGGAGGGAGAATGAGGAGGAAGTGAAAAGGATGAAGATAAAGACGATGATGGAGAAGA